TGAAAGTTACGGGTGCATTTGAATACTTTTCACTTTAAGGGTAATCTAAACTCAGTGTTCCATAAACTCAGTGTTCTGATGCGACGGGCAGTGAAAATAAAGTGGAAGAAGGAGGAAGAAGAGAATCAAAACTGGCCTAAGCAGCGGCAGCACCAATTCTATTTTCTAAAACAAGTAAATACTGTCGAATTGTATTGCTTGAGTAGTTTTCTAAAAGGTCTTCAAAGGGTTCTGGAGAGAAAAAAACTGTTGAGCCCGCCTCAAGTTCCACCGTTACCTTACCGAACCATTCGAGACTGCCTTCTCTTGTGCTGTACCTAGCAGGTGCTGTAAACTAGATCTAATGAAACTAGACCAGAAGCCGGTCGGTAATATGAGCCCCAACATCACATCGAGCCTCTTCCCCCTCATGCAGATTTGTAAGCATTTCCCAATATTAAATTCCTTCAAATTTAGTGGGATGAGATGATAACAAATGCCTTCACAGCGCATATCGAGACATATCCTGGGCATTCCTTATAGAATTTCCACCCTTCCTTAGAAGGAGGAAAAGTGTGAGTGGTATAATCATCAATAGTGCGTGATAATTAGGAATATTTGAAATTAAAATGGGTAAAAATAGCTTCTCGTAGGTCCGATGAAGCATATCAGTTCCGTACGGAATCTTCACTGAGATTGTAACTTACACCGATAGTTTGCTTTATTGAAGCAGTTTCTTGATTTTTGATATATCTTCGGAAGACAACTTCTTATTTCTCCACAAAATAGTAATTACTTCATTAGCGCAGTTAAGGTGAACACCATTGAAACTTTACGCAAGCAATTCACAGTTTATTGATCTACGAAGTAGGAGTTACTCTGAAGCCAAGACTACGACTTTTCCAATGTTGCGGTAATTCCATTTATAGAATAATCGATCTCAGTTAAACGATTTTTTAGAATGTTGAACTGGTGCCACCGTATCCGCGTTGGCGCTGGGGCGCGCAGCCTAACACGGTCGACTTGTTCTCGGTGTCGTTTTTTCTGCGCACTCCACAGAAAATGGGCATGACTGTGCAGTAGCATCACCGCTGTAGAAGATGGCGTACGGCAGGGTGGAGCAGCTGCAGTTGGGGTCTTCCTGCCCTGCAGTGCACCCGCAGTGCGATGGTTTTCGAAGAGCTCTTCGTGGTCGCAGAGAGAATGGTGCGTTACGGTTCTTTGCGCGACTCAATGCTCAACAGTGCACTCCAGCGCCAGCATCTTACGGTGGAACGAATTCAACGCGCTGAGAAATCGTTCTTCTATCGGCCATATAGTCCATTGTTTGATGAGGCGAGGGAGGGCAGGGGCGGGAACGGGAAAGGGTGGGGCAGAGGAACAAGCAAAACTATAATGGGCATCTCAACTGTGGTTATCCACAAGCATGTCTCTACACAGAATGCTGCACCTTTCGAAGCGGCTTCTTGAATGAGATGCAGCGTGTATGAAGTACAGACACATCTTTAAAATTTCAAAATGGAGTTTTACT